TGAATGCCAATTTTGAAGTGAGAGGGCTTTTTTTTATAAAGAAAATGGATGTTTTATTAATTTTTCTACATAAAATTTGGTCATCATTGATAGCAGTTTTAAAATTTTCTACTATTGCATAAACTGGAAAATGGTCAGAAAAGTCTGATACTATGACTCCACTTTCGCAATGTTGATACAGGTTCGTAAATATGTTGTCGATTAATGAATTGGCGTTACAAGTTACTCTTGTTGGTAAATTAATTAAAGGCGAGAAACAAAATGAAAATAGTAGATTTTGAAAGTCTTTAGAATCATTTGAATCATTGTCCAATAAATTAACATTAAAGTATGTATGTATGTATGTATGTATGTATGTATGTATGTATGTATGTATGTATGTATGTATGTATGTATGTATGTATGTATGTATGTATGTATGTATGTATGTATGTATGCATGCATGTATGTATGTATGTATGTATTGATTTGTATCGTTCAGTTTCATTTTGTATTTCTTTATGACTGGCCTGATAAGATATTGTTTTATTGCGGTATTAAATGTTATACCGACTTAATCATCATTACCCTCAACTTCATCGTTTTAATTCTTCATCATCGTCATCGTCGTCGTCGTCGTCATCATCCAAGTTTATATCATTTTCAGAAGAAATACCTTTTTAAACCCCACATCAACATCAACAACAACAACAACATAAATAACAACAACACCGTCATTATCACTGTCATCACATCAACAATCACTATCATTAATAAATACAGCAACAAAATAATCATCATCGTCATCAACAGCCACAACAGCGGCAACCATATCAACCACAACAGCGGCAACCACAACGTCAACAGCAACTATCATATTCAGTCAGCCACCAAAAATTTTTTATCGGTTCTTCCAAATGTCAAATCATGAAATGAGCTCTTCGATTATAAATTCGTATGTGTGTATGTTTGCTTGTTTGGTTGTCTGTTTGTATTTATGCATGTATGTATGTACGTACATACGTGTTATGTGTGTGTGTGTGTGTTTTTGTATGTACATTTTCAATCATGTGTTTTTGACTAATGTATATTTTCATACCTATGTACGTACGTAAGGTTGGTAAGGCATTA